AACACTGTGACGTTTGATGTATATTTCTAGTGAGTCAGCTGGAAAAACTGAGACAGATTGCTATTGCTAGAGTTTTCACCTGAACAGTTCATCAACATTTTAATTGCAACCATTTGTTAAGTTTAGCAGACAGTGAGCGCCTGATTGATGTTTTATTTGTTGAGAGTAAACGCGGCATGCATGCTACAACCAGTATCCATTCATCAATGCAAGATAATGAGACTTTACGATAAGACTTACTCATACCTGGGAGGAATGAATGAGAGTAAGGCACATAGACAACAAGACGGATGTATTTACATTGCGCTATACGTAATACCGTGCATATATACATACCCACTACACAATTAGTTTTCATCTCCCAAAGGATGCATAAACAGCAAGTCTGAAAGATGGTTATTTTTTTTTTCCTTTGAGGTGAAAGGTGCCAGGTACATGCCTATATTGAGTGATATTTAGATTTAATAAATGTGTGTGTAGACATTGTTGTTGAGAAAATAAATGAAATCTGCAACATGAATTCAATAAATCTGGCATACACAGCCACGAAGTTAGAGCCCCCCCCCCCAAAAAACCCCACAGAGTTGCAGATAATCTATTTGAATGATTTTAGAGAATAATGGTCTGCATACTAATTAAAATAGATTCTATAAGGCGTTTGAGTCTCAGTTTCTTTTTTAACGATATTATATTGAGTTTATGTAAAAAAATTCTTATGGTTTTGTGCGACTCTGTTTATTTCCTTTAACTCTGTTTTCATACTAAGTGTACTGGTATTCATTATCTTCGCAATTTAAATACTGCTTTTAAGATAACAACGTAAACCTAACTTGGTTCGTTCTCGAATGTTTATGATTCTGGAACAGAGCAGCCACTGTGTAATATTAATTACAATTTTTGAACAACATAAAACCGTATCTTTACACTTCACTAGTTTCGGTTGGCAACAACTGTCTCGTCACATGATTCAGTTTTTCATTCTCACGCTGTCTTAATTAAAACTGCAAATAGTAAGTTTCTTTCTATGGCAGCGAATAACAGGGATTCGGTTGACTGTGTGTCGATGAAAATTCACCATCTAATCACGAATCTGTCAAAGTAGTGTTATATGAGGTTATACCCTGATATCACTTATTTGGTGATACAAGTGACGTCATTGGATAGTAATATCTACGAGGATAGAAGATAGTAAAGTCCATGATGCCACAAGTATCAAACAGACTTATGAACAAGTGTTATCAGGTGATAACCTTTTTATCACATGACTGACTTGAGCGAAAAAACAGAGAAAATCATAATTGTATGTAACCACGCTTACACATCATAACTTATGCAAATAAGTGATGATGTCTACGCACATCAGTGGACATGCATCTGCATTTACGACCGTCTATGGTTAGCAATAATCGGCAAAAACATGACCATTTTATCGATATCTTTTTGACATAAAATTGTTATCGAGTCTATATTTTTATTAGCTGATGCAATTGTTTTTATTCAGGCTGAAATTATAGTATCCCTGCAATAAAAATAATTTTTCTCCATCTACCGTTTGAACATGCACGAAATGACAAAATTTAAAGTGAATACTGTAAAAGGATTAATTATTCATTGGGTTTCAATTTTGCGTATTTCGCTGACTGGAAAATGCGCTAAATTAAAACCTAGTGAATATGTAAAATTGAGCATAGAACACATTGTCTAAATGATAAAACCATGAATTTAAAACCCACTGAATATGCCTGAAATGCTAAATCAGTGAAATTTAAACCCAGTGAAAATTAGTCATATTACAGTATTGAGAATATTGAATATTTAGCATACGTCACACATAGTGGATGATGAGAAGTGTCTATGACAAGATAATGTGTGAATCAAAGCCAACCACATTATCACATCTAGACCCTTCTCTGAATCCAATATGATGCTGTAGGGGATTCATTATTGTTGTTATAAACTATCAGAGTTAAACAAATTTAGGGCTTATTGCTGAAGTGAATTTACTTGCAAATAGAGGTTTTACGTTATCTTGTGATGACACAAAGCTATGACCTCTAATTCTGATAGTGTTGATTTATATTACACAGAATACAGTAAATATATGTTCCTTTCACTACACGTGAACGCAGATAAACTTTATGATAAAATAAACAACGAACATGTTAATTATTATGCAAAAGTATGCACTGATTTTGATTCATTATCAACATGCCAAGTTTTAATTGAAATTTTTTATGAAGAAATGCCATTAATCAATGTACATTTTTTGAAAAGTATGACATTTAGTAATCTGTGTTTGAATGAAAACTGAAAAAAAAATATTAAATCTTTGTGTGCCAATTCTGTTGATACAACTGGAGAGGCCATCAAAATAATTGGATGAGAAACAAGTCCCTTTAAAAAATACTTCCATTGCTGATTCAAGAACAGACAAAATACTTGTTTTAAGGAACAAGGACCAAACACTCCATGGTCACAACCAACTAATAACCCATTTACAACTAAATAAGACATAGAAATTGCTTGTAAATTGGAACCAGTGAAGGAGGAGAAATAAGCAATGAGTGAATTACCCTATAGACTAAATCGTATTTAACTCTTAGCCATCCCAATGATTCAATATTCATTCTTACAGTCTTCCAATCAACATTTCTATAACGATTGTTCAGTTTCATTTCCCTAGTTGCTAGGTTATCCTCAAAGTCCTGACTGATTTGGCAGAATTTAATTATCTGTGGTCTGTCCGAAAAAAAGAAAAGAACTAATCATGTTTGGCAGCACATGAGGTTATGGTGCGTTGGAAAGGTTAAAACAGATATGTTACTTACAACTGTAACTGCGGATTGCGAGGTTAATTTAGTTAAAAAAAGCAGTGCAAGTAACAACATAGCAATTGATTGATACTTTAGACTGACAGATATCCCCGATGACAACACTGACGACATATTAGTTGACTGCTATGTCTGAGATGAATATGACGTAATACAATGATATAATTACTATCAAGGATCGAGAGACATGATTTTTGTCATAGCAAGTTCACTTGTACGTGTGAGTTCTAGTAAAAGTACGCTGTGACAAGAGTTGATTGACATGTTCCTAGGTTGATTTAAATTACTAGTACATCAGGCTAAAAAGATTACAGTAATCTCAAAGAGATATATACATGTATATGCTTATAACAATTTAGCTGAAGGTATTATGCCACATCTTAAATTGTTGACTGGTGACATAGGATAAGAAAACGATATATCATGACTGATGGGGTATTATTTTCTGAAATATTTCAAAAATGTGGGTTTTTAAAAAGTGATTACATTTTTTTATTGCTTTGAAAATTTTTGAATATTTTTTAAAATACAGTAGTCAACAGAATGGTGTTTTTTATGTCACTATTAAACTATAGCTTCATGATTTTACATAATTAACTACCGTAATTAACATTGTCATGCGATTTATGATGAATTTTCTAAAAGTTATGAGTAGGCGGCTTCAATCTGAATACTTTGAACAAGTATTTGAGGAGATAAAAAACATCTAGATTAGAGTGCCGCAAAAGTGAGAAAAATTAAACAATACTGTATTTTTCCAATTAAAAGTCAAGAGAAGGGCATGCACCAAAAGGAATCCTTTTTTCAGCTTTTTGAAAGACTGATGATGATATTGCAAATGTATGTTTGTTTATTACACAGATCTGGAAACCCAAGTACTTTAGAAAAGTGAAATGAGCGATTAGAGCCAAACATCCACCTGTCACTGTTTGTGAATGGGATAACTAGGTTATTTTAACATGCCCCGAGAACAGGTACAGTACATATGATAGTCTTTGACATGCCCCATCCAACAGAACCAAAACTTGTGTGACTGTATACGCACAACATTAGGAGGATTTAAACATTTGTATACTGCATTTTCTTTTAGAAATGCATATAAACCAAAAATTGCATTTATTATACGGTGGATCCAGTGGACCATAGACTCACATCTGTCATGCGTAAACGCATGCACTACTAGTAAAGCAGATACGGTAGTTGTACACTGGCAATAAATAGAGATTTAATGAATTCAAAATTAGCCTCATTGCTTATGTGAAATAAAAGTCCAGTTTTTCATGGTTTACATAAATCAACTCATTTATGTTAGATAAAATTTGAAATAACTATGGCTTTTATTACGTAATATATATAGACTTTATAGTATTTTTAATTGGCACCCCGGCAAATGTCAGTTAGCTTTAAATTGTTGGAATCATAAACTTTTACATCTGGCAATATTCAAAAGATTTTTGTTTCGCAAAGGTTTCCAGAATTGAGAACTTTTTTTGCTCTGCAAGTTACTTGGAGATATGACAATAAGACAATGAGGTTGTTACACCAAAAAAGATTACAATAAGGACAACGACAATGATAAAATTGTTTACATTTGTATTTTAGCTCAAAGAAAAATTGTCGTCTCAAATTTTAGATAAACAATGTATTTTACATGCATTGCATATGTCCCATGGGACCTACATTGAACAGGATGGGATGAGACTGTTACACTTAAATCTACATATGAAAATCATGAAATCTGAATTCTCTACCTAGGTAATTGTTAAAGAGCATGGTCTAATACTAAATTGTTAACACACACGTACTAACACAATAAATCCGGACCCATTAAATCTGCAAAACACCAATTAACAAACATGTATTGGGTAACAATTCTGTATGCAGTATTGAAATAACAGCCACGGAGTATCGTTTTGCAGTGAGGCATCAGTTAGCGATAAGGCACAAAATCATGCAGTCTTACAAACTGGTGAACGCAGAATAACCAAAGGCAAAAGTGCACAATTTACATTTCAATGTACCAATCTAAACGAGATACTACGTACTGACATCTGCAACCGACATGTGTATAAAGAGACGAATACAAAACACAGACGCATCTCCATGGAATGCAGGCAAACAATAATCCAATTAAAGATTCCAAATAATATAAAGATAATTTTTACTCACCTTTAATTAGAGCAGCAATTTCCTGTGAGGTGTGAGAAGCCATGCTGTGTGCTTCAACGATATCCAGTGCGGTTTGTTGGTCATTATTACGACAGGTTGTGTCTATACCATAGCTCATTAATAATCTCACCACTTCCAGCTTACCAAACAGTGCAGCCTCGTGTAATGCAGTGCCCTTTTCACTCTGAAATCAAATGCAAACCAATTCATGGTGAAACAAATCCTTGCTATGCGTTATGCATTTCAATGTGTGTTTAAATCAAATGTAGATTTTACATGTATCCATTTGGTGAGCAGGAATAAATTAGGCCGGGCGGCATAAGGCAGGACAATTCTTTGCAGAACTCTGTCCACCTGTTGTCACCATTTAAAATTAGAACATGAAAGCTTCTGACACTATACTTTTAGCTGTGGCTCCATATATGCATATGGTTTTATGGTTCTACAAACCGAAACTAAGTGTTGCCTGTGAGTGCATAATTGATCTGATGGCCTTTGTATCCTGGTGTGAATACTCTGATGATGGTACAAACAATGCCATGAATTATGCATAAAGGTGGTACCCAGAACCATATTGGCTGAATTTATATATAGCAATAATTTCCCTCGATAGTATTTTATTTAAAGTGTAACTTCACATCCAAATTAGCTCTTACCTGGCTTTGCCTTTTCATTAAAGCTTAATTTTATTTCTAAAGCGAGTTCAATTGTCATCAATAATTTTAAAGAAGCAATATTGATGAGAAAATATAATTTTTAGTATTGTTACTTGATAATTTATAATTATAAATTGGACTAAGA